TTGAGATGGGGGATGGAGTTGTTTGACTGAGTTGGGGGCCTAGGGCCCCTGACAGGTGGCTGAATGCCAAAGAGGGCTGCCTTGACCCATTGTCTTGTAGGCCTAAGCAGGAGAGGTACTGGAAGTGAAGGAGCTGGGGAGTTGAGGGGCTGCAGGGAAGAGATTGGTCCCTTTCCCAGTATCCTCTGGCAGCTCAACTCATGAATGTGTGTTGCTTATGGTGTTCCCTGGAAAGGGAGCCTAAGTTGTTTGGGGAGAGCCCTGTGCATGGGCACTGTGTACAGGTCCCAGGGCGGTGAGAATGTGGGATGCATGAGTATTCTGGGAGGGCTGTTGACAATACATCTGTCATTCCTTAGTCACGTGGGGCGAAGTGGGGGTGAGTGTTATGGAGTCATAGTTTGAATGAGTCATCCAGGCCCACAGGGCAGCTTCTGGGGAGACCCTTCCTTGTGCCACAATGCCCCTACCACTTTGCTAGACCCCAGATTTCTGAATTTCTGATTCAGTCACCCTATCCTTCGCCACAGCTGGGTTTGAGCATCAGAACATGTCTTCCCTCAATGTCTGGGGCTGCTGTCTAATTCTCCTGGGAGCCATGCTTCCTCCCTCTGCATCCGCTACTCAGCACCCACATGGGCCAGCACCATCATTTCGTCTCATGACGGCTGTCTCTAAGCCAGCAGGCCTGTGGCGAGGGTGGTAATTTCCCTCCCTGCCTGCCTGCTAGAGGAAGGTTGGCAGAGAGGCCTTTGGCAAGGCCAGATGGGGTGGGAACAGCCTAGGGATGGCCTGATGGGGGCAGGCCCAGGGCCTCTCTGTGCCGGGCACTGCTGACCGTTTTTTCATAAGAGCCTTTTGTTCTCTGCACAGGACACGCTGAATAATAATTCTTTAGGCAAAAAGCACAGTTGGCAGGACCGTGTGTCTCGATCTTCCTCCCCTCTGAAGACAGGTAAGTGAGGCCTCTCCCTGAGCTGGAGACCCAGTAGTCTTCACTTGGCCCACCTGGGCTGAGCTCATCTGGGAGCCAGTAACTGGCTACAGAGCCTGCTGATGGAGCACAGTGGGGAAGAGGAGGGCACAGGTACATGGAGTGGGCACCAGCTCTCAGTACCAACTTGCCTGTCCTCTAGGGGAGCAGACATCTCCACATGAACACATCTGCCTGAGTGATGAGCTACCACCCCAGAGCAGTCCTGTCCCCACCAAGGACCGAGGCACCTCCACTGACAGCCCTTGTCGCCGAAGCGCTGCCACTCAGATGGCACCTCCAAGTGGTCCCCCTGCCACTGCACCTGGTGGCCGGGGCCACTCCCATCGAGACCGAATCCACTATCAGTCAGATGTGCGGCTCGAGGCCACTGAGGAGATCTACCTGACCCCAGTGCAGAGGCCCCCAGACCCTGCAGAGCCCACCTCCACCTTCTTGCCACCCACTGAGAGCCGGATGTCAGTTAGCTCTGATCCAGACCCTGCTGTTTACTCTGCAACTGCAGGGCGGCCACACCCCTCCATCAGTGAAGAGGATGAGGGCTTCGACTGTCTATCATCCCCAGAGCGAGCTGAGCCACCAGGTGGAGGGTGGCGGGGAAGCCTTGGAGAGCCACCGCCACCTCCACGGGCCTCACTGAGCTCGGACACCAGTGCTCTGTCCTACGACTCGGTCAAGTACACATTGGTGGTGGATGAGCATGCCCAGCTTGAGCTGGTGAGCCTGCGGCCATGCTTCGGAGACTACAGTGATGAAAGCGACTCTGCCACTGTTTATGACAACTGTGCCTCTGCCTCCTCACCCTACGAGTCAGCCATTGGTGAGGAATATGAGGAGGCCCCTCAGCCCCGGCCTCCCACCTGCCTCTCAGAGGACTCCACACCGGATGAGCCTGATGTCCACTTCTCTAAGAAGTTTCTGAATGTCTTCATGAGTGGCCGCTCTCGCTCCTCCAGTGAGTCAGTGAGCAGGGAATGGTGGGGGGGAGCCTGGCCAGGGAGAGCTGAGATGGAATGGGGCCTCAGATATCACGTAGTCTGTCTGAGAGCAAGACAGAGCTTTCTAGTTGCCCCGAGCTGAGGTCACCCCTCCAGCTTACTGACTTCCTACAGGTGCTGAGTCCTTCGGGCTGTTCTCCTGTGTCATCAATGGGGAGGAACATGAGCAGACCCATCGGGCTATATTCAGGTGAGGGCTGCCCCTTCCTTGCTCTGCTGGCTCACCACTGGCATTCCCTCAGCAGTTGGGGGACAGTATCTCCTGTAGGAACTCAGCTTAGTGACAAAATGCTCAGGTGTCGTGAGGAAGCTACGACTATGCACTTAACCTGGCTAGGGGCCAGAGAGATGCCTGCCCTGCATAGAACCTGTACCCTATTTTGCCTCTAGGTGAGGCTCTTACTTTCCATGGCCTTTTAGTTATCAAGGCCTAGGCTTCCTTTCTCTCTGGCCCCTGAAATCTTGTGTAGCAAATAAATGCATATCTCAGTATCGTGTGTCCCCTAGGAGGCAGCATTGTGACAGGCACATGGGTATTTTGCAAATATCAATGGCTGAAGAACCCTGATGATCAGTACCTCACATGCCCTTGGGGATAGGTTTGTGCCTCGACATGAAGACGAACTTGAACTAGAAGTGGATGACCCTCTACTGGTGGAGCTGCAGGCAGAAGACTATTGGTACGAGGCCTATAATATGCGCACTGGAGCCCGAGGTGTCTTTCCTGCCTACTATGCCATTGAGGTCACCAAGGAGCCTGAGCACATGTCAGGTAGTACTTCCCTCTAGTTTGGTCCTGTCCACCCCCCGTGTCTACCCAACTGACTTGCTGCCAGTGTACATGTACCCCAGGTCTTAGGCAGCAAGGGAGGAGAGCAGAGGTAATTTCAGTTCTGTTACACAGTTAATAAGTAAGGTCCAGCCAAGTCAGGGCATGTGGGGATGGTAGCATCCTCTACTGCCTGAATCACTCCACGTGCTGCACTCTCCCTTCTTGGCTTGGCTCTGAACCCCCTGCTGATGGCTCTCTTGCTCCTTATTGTATGGTTGCTTTCCAGCCCTTGCCAAAAACAGCGACTGGATTGATCAGTTCCGGGTGAAGTTCCTGGGTTCCGTCCAGGTTCCTTATCACAAGGGCAACGATGTCCTCTGTGCTGCTATGCAAAAGGTACCCAAATCTGACTCCTTGCTTTGTCCTGGGGTGCCTATCCTCAGCCAGCCCACACTATTAGGGAAAAGGGCATAGGCATCTGGAGGCAATGTTGTGACATGAGGGATCCATAGAGAAACCCAGAGCTTCCCTCATGCAGAGCTTCCCTCATGGCTGTCCCTCATGCAGATTGCCACCACCCGCCGGCTCACCGTGCACTTTAACCCACCCTCCAGCTGTGTCCTTGAGATCAGCGTTAGAGGTGTCAAGATAGGTGTCAAAGCCGAAGATGCTCAGGAGGCCAAGGTGACTTCTTTCAAGCCTTCTTGCCCTATGTGTATCTCCTTCCCCTTTATTTCTTGCCTGCCATATGCCTCTCCTCTCTCTGTGTGCCTACCCAATTCCTATTTGCCCCTCCTGCCTGCTTCCACTTCCAAGCTGACCATCTTGCTTCTCTCATCTCTCCTGTAGGGAAATAAATGTAGCCACTTTTTCCAGCTAAAAAACATCTCTTTCTGTGGATACCATCCAAAGAACAACAAGTAAGTAGGAGAGGCAGACATAAGATTCCCAGTGGTAGTCTTGGGTGAGAATCTTGTCTCACAGATGCCTGCCTTCCCACAGGTACTTTGGGTTCATCACCAAGCACCCTGCTGACCACCGGTTTGCCTGCCATGTCTTTGTGTCTGAAGACTCCACGAAAGCCCTGGCAGAGTCTGTGGGGTAAGTGTGTGTGTGTGTGCTGATGATGGTCTACCCAGGGAATATGCCCTGTCACAAGCCCTGGAGCTTCTTCATGCTGTGTCAGTGACCTTGTCCTCCTGGAAACCCCATTCCTGGAAGAGGCCAGGAGGTACTAAGGAGCCCAGGGTCTGGGCCACTTCCTGGTTAGCTACTGACCCTTCTTCAACTGCTCCTTTCCTCTTTGGGAAATAACTGCCCAGAGAACAGAGCTAAGCTGTCTGGGAGTTCCAAAGAGCCTTTTGAAGAGCCTGGGTTGAGGCTCCTGGTCACCCCAGTGTCCCCCATTTTCCAGGCGCGCATTTCAGCAGTTCTACAAGCAGTTTGTGGAGTACACCTGTCCTACAGAAGATATCTACCTGGAGTAGCAGTGCCACCATCCTCTGCAGCCCCTCCACCCCAGGCCAGTACTAGGACAGCTGGCTACAGACAGGATGTGGCACGGCCACAAGAGATTGGGGAGTGAGGGCTGTTGGGGGGGCAGGGCTGTGGGGAGAAGCAGATGCAGTTTATTGTAATATATGGGGTTAGATTCATATATGGAGGACAGTACAGGCTCTCTGGGGACTGGGGAGGGTGAGGCTGGGGTGGGGGTCAGGCCTCTGACCACAGAGGGATCCCCTAGGAACAGAGGCACTGCTCCATCCTGGACCTTGTTTCATGCCAGGGATCCTGGCTTCTCTGGCTCTTGGCTTCTGTCTTGACAAAGCCCATTCCACCTGGAAGTGCCCACCATCCCCTTCCCACCTCACCTAGAGCCCTGAGCTCAGGCTGAGCCCAACCACCTCCCAAGGACTTTCCAGTAAGGAAATGGCAGTACATGACAGTGAAGACCCTGTTCTCAGCTGACATCCGTGGGGCCTCCGGGCAGCTCCCACCTCCAGCTAGGCCAGCATGCTGGTCCTGGCAGGCTTGTGTGTGCTAGGAAGGAGAGGGCTACAGCAAACCCTGCCTGGCAGGGAAAGGGGGCCCCTCAGCTGGTCCCAGCCATCCCTATCACTGTCTTGTCACCTGGCTACTACTATTAAAGTGCCATTTCCTGTCTGGACCACAGTGGGCGTATTTACTTGGACCCCTACTGGGCCTTCTTGTTACACACAGGCTATGGAACCAAGCATTTGCTGCCCAGAATAGCTTTATGTGGGATTCCCATCACAGATTGACATCATAGTAATAGTCAGCCATGTTGGGCCCGTCCCGCTTGCGCTGCTGGGCCTGAGAGAGGAGGGGTCGGGGCCCTCGTGGCCACGGGTGCTTGGGTCTGACCCCATAGTCTAAAGAGAGAAGAGGATAAGGGTGGAGGGAAGTGCTGCATACTTGGAATGGGGCTGCTTGCTGCCAGCTCTGAAGAGGCAGTCTGGGAGTAGGAGACACAGGGCTTGGCCCTAGGGGACCTCTAGGGGCACCTGCTGTGGAGGGTGGGGGAGGGGAGAGAAATACTACCATCCACCAGGCCTGAGAGCGGCTGTGAGAGTTCCAGTGGGGCCGAAAATTCCTCAGGAACAGATCGCTGAGACCTAGGGGAAATGTTGCTGTGCTGAGCCCTGACCCCAAAGGCCATTGCCACTTTCCTTTGAGGGATAGCCCAGGGTGAAGACTTGATAAACTAACCCTTCCCAGGATAATGGTCAGCCTCTTCCAGAGTCTTCTAGGCCCTGAGGGTCTGGCCTTACCTCTGGGGCTGAGGTCGAAGGAGTGCGCCTGCCAGGATGAGGTAAAGAAGGAAGAGACTGAGCCCAGCCCTGGGGTACAGAGCCCCCAGCATGGCGAGAACCATTTCCTACACAGTCCCTACTGTGGCTTCTGCCTGCCCCTCCCCCAGCAGGACAGAACCTGGTGCCAATTCTCAGGGCCACCTCACAAAGGGTGTCAGTTCCAGGGCTCAGCATCAGCACCCCTCCCTTTGCATCCTGGAGACTTTTTCCCCAAGTTTTTCAAGACGGTTTCTCTGTGTAACCTTGGCGGTCCTGGGATTCACTTTGTAAACCAGGCAGGCCTGCCTCCACCTCTGCCTCTGCTTCCCAAGTGTTGGGATCAAAGATGTGGGCCCCACCGCCAGCCATGGAGAAGATTTTTGTCCCATACAACTGTTTTAGTATTGTCCCTGCTAGGATACCTCCCTTCATTAATTCTAGGGACCTGGAATTCTATGTGCTATCCAACTCCAAAGCCCCATCCATCACTCTTGACTCCTGGATGCCACATTATCCTCCCTACCCGCACAGTCCCCATGGGCTGCTGTGGTTCTTCAACCCCTGCCCCACTGCCTTGAGCCTCTCCCATGCCCTGACTGATGTCACCCACTCTGGTGTAGCACCAGACTTCTCCTGGCCTCATGTCATGCACTCCTTAAGCCTGCACAGCACTGCATCCCAGCATTGTGTCCCACCCACTAAGACCCTGCACAGCTGCTTTCCACACAGCCTTCCCTACCCTAGCTGCTGTCAGGAAACTAATGTCATGGTGGAGGAGTGTGGCTTGGGGATTAGTCTCTATCCAGCTCCAGTATAACAAAATTGCTATAGTTTTTTTTTGTTTGTTTGTTTGTTTTTGAGTTTCACTACACAGGAAGGCTTTGCTCTCCTTTGCCATCACTGCAGAAAGTGCTTACCACTGTGTGGCAACACCACCTCCATCTTTAAGATCTCAGCATAGTACATGCCCAGGAGTCAGGAACTGCAAGGCAGGAAACCATGTGTTGCATGGCACCAAAGCCTGCTACAGTGTAAGCTCCCAGGATGCTTGTGAGGCTGAGTAGAACCAACAAGCTGACAGGCTGCCCTTTCCACTGCTCCTGCTCAGAATCACATGGCAAGCATGTCAGGTTGAGCTGGGGCTACAAGAGTGTGTTAGAGGAGGCAAGGCCTAAAGGGCGGGTGCAGACAGTGCTCTCCAAAGTCAAGGGGCACCACTCCGGGAATAGGGCAGGAACAAGGTAGGTGTGACAGCTTACCCCTATAGTCCCACACTGAGAGACTGCCATGAGTTTGAAGTCAGTAAGACTTGTCTAAAAGAAAGGGAAGGGCAAAGGAAGAGAGGGAGCACAAACAGCGGGGACAGTGAAGTTCAGGCCCACACAGCCCTGCCCGGCCCTCTTCTGTCTTCTCCACGGTAGTCTGTATGGTTCCAGCAATCTAGTCCTCCTGAGTCAGAGTCAGATGCTGGGAGTGTCAGAGAGACGGGACTCCAGCGCGTGTGCACACAGAGCCCACTTTCTTACAGACCCAGGTTTGCACACTATCCTATCCCAGCCCTGGCAGACCTGACTCTGCCATGGAGAAGAGTACTCCTGGGGCGGGGGGGGGGGGGGCTGGGCTTGCTGTTTAGCCCTGTAGGTTAAAGGGGAAATAGAGGCCCTGGCAGGAAGGCATATTGGACCGTGGTCATCCATGGCCTAGTCCACCTGTCTTCATCATGGACCAGTGAGAAAGAAGCATCTAGTTGCACAGTTGAGGCAAATGTTGACCCATGCTGGAGGAGGAGAAGTCAGTCTGCTGTGCTGAGATGAAGGTACCCCTGGACCTGATGGTGACAAGGAGCAGGCTGCAGTGGCTCCATCCCAGGAAGGTGGAAAAAGGGACAGCTGTGGTGACCAGGGCTGAGAAAGCAGAACTGCCAGGACAGGTGCTGGCTGCTGGACACAGAGCCACATGTGGACACTACCAGAGTCAGTTTTATTAGAAGAGGGTCCTGGGGGACTGGAGGGCTGAGGCAAGCCCCGCCCACAGCATCAGAGCACACCACATAACCCCCTCTGCACCCACTCCTGCATGTCTGTCAGCCCCAACTGTAGAAATATATTTTCTGCCAGGAGGGCAGGTAGTCCATGAGCGGCCCTGCAATGAGAGGGAAGGAGGAGTTAGGGCCAAGCCAGGCCCCCTGGCACTGGCCCATGCCTTTTCTGACACTGGTACCAGTACAGCGGCTCACATCTGTACCACCTGCTGTGTCTCCTGCTTCTGCAACTATGCTGGAGATGCAATTTACACACAAGGACCCCTGGGTTCAGGGTAGCCAAGCAGCATGACCCACATGTCTTCCTTTATGGTTAGGTAACCAGACAGGCCCCAAGGCCCCTCCCTGCTTTACCAGATCAGACTGTTGCTATTATTCAGGTCACAGAGGCAGGAGGGCTTGCCAACCTGACACAGCTAATTATCCTACACACAGGCATTCTTCCAGCCATCTCCCTACCTCCATGCGTTGACAACTTAAGCCCTGGAGCTGTTACCTCCCAATACTGATTTTGGGGTCACTCTTGACTGCCCAATAATTGAACCATAAAGAGACAGAGCAAGTAAGATGGGGCCATTTGTGCCTCAGGGACATTCCACACCACATTGACCCACCCACACTTACTTGCCACTAGGCCAACACCAGGGACATGGTCTGCAAGGAGCTGGAGCAGGAAGAGGATCTTGGCTCTGAACAGGGAAGAGAAACAGCACGGTGGGGATGGGTTCCTACACATCAGGAGCTAAAGGCCTTCACCTACCACCAGACATTTCAGAAAACAAGGGGCTCCAGAGCCTACTACAAGGCAGATCTACTGGCACTGCACCTATCTGCAGCTGCACATGTTCACAGCCCACATCATAACACTGTCCCTCCCCTCTTCCCTACCTTCCTACCATTGCCATTCAGCAAGTGCTTCCTAAAGGTCACTCTGTAGCAAGGCCTGTACCCTGAAGGTTTCTGGAGGGAGCTGATAGAAGAGCTGAGCTACATAGAAACCTCACAAGCCAATGCTCAGAGTAGTTGGGCCTAGGAAGAGGACACAGTGCTAAGAAGAAACCCCTTTGGCTCAAAGAGAGGCTTAAACAAGATATGGGACTTTCTAAAGGTGAACTTGGGGTGGGCCATAATGATGTTGGGAACAATAAAAGAACATGTATGAGATGGAAGTGTGGTTCATGGGTAGAACACTTGATTAGCATGTTTGAGGCCTTAGGTTTGATACCAGCAGCACTAGTATAAAACAACAAAAACTAACATCACATGCTCATTACGTTCCAAACACAGCCAAACACATTCAGTTACCTGATCCCTACAACAACTGATCAGACGGGTGCCATCACTATCCCCACTTATAGGTGAGGAATTGACCCCAGAGGTCTCACAGCTCAGCTCCTGTTCAGACACCCACAGATCAGAGGCACCCTGGTAGGCCTTTTTGAGAGATTTCTCAGGCTAAGGCAGGGACTCTGAACCCTCATAGGTGATGAGTGTGGGATGGGCCCAGCAGTGACAGCCTAGCTGAGTCCTCTGTTTAGCTGCCCAGCCCTCTGAAGGGCAGCACCTGCTCTGAAAAGTAGATACCCTGTGGTGAAAAGAGCTAGACGTAGGTGGTCTGCATCAGCGGTGGCCTTGCAGAACTCTTAGCCTACCCTCAGTGGTCTCTCTAGCCAACTAGCACATAAGCTCACACTGGCCTGACCACGGCTGCTTCCTGGACAGCTTCAGAGCCAGCAAGTACTCAAATGACTCCAGCCTAATCCATGCAGCATAGATAAGGGCTGATGTGAGGGTGGTCCTTACTCAGAAAAGCGGTCATAGAACGGTGAACGCAGCAGGTAGTACAGCAGCAGGATTGTGCGGCGCCTCAGCTCTAGCCGCTCCCTTCGGGTGAGACTCTTTCTGTCACTCAGGAGACTCAGACTGTGGGGAAGAGACATAGGGACAAGGATGATCTATGTCCCTGGCAGGGAAAGAACCATAGACTGGGATAGCCAAATGGCAAGCAGTACACCCAGTGGAAGAAATGGAATCCTTCACCCATGCTCACCTAGTCATATCTACCACACCAGAGAGTAGCCAGGGTGTCCACGACTGCTGACCCCAGAAACCCAGGCTGAGCACTGAGGGTCAAGGTGTCAAGGATGTCTGCAGTGCAGGGTCCAGCTCAACTCCTCCCCAGCCCACCTCCAGCACAGCTAAGGATACAGTGCATCAGGGGCCGGGCAATATACAAAGACTCTGCAATGGTCTCCTGCAACCCCAGAGGTGTTGGGGGTGTGCTCAGCTCTTCCTGCTGCTGTTTCTGCCGAATCTCCTGTTGCTGGGGGGCTCCCCAGTGCCGTGAGTGCAGGGATGGGCCTAGAACATGAGGACAGATAAGTGAGCCAGGAGCTGATGCGGGTGCTGACAGAAGCCAGCCCCTTAGGCTCACACTGACCTCAGCACCTAGGTGCCCAGTCCAGCTACATCTTCCACTTACTGTTCTGAAGGGTTCGCACCACTCTGTTTGACCTTTTCCCCACATATGATGGCTCCTGGCTGCCTGGGTTGTGGTCACCATCTAGCAGGTATAGACAGGACATAATATGAGGGATATATATTCCTAGCAGAGCTTACACAGAACATGTGTGCAGTGAATGCTTGAGGAGCTCCTGGGAGAACACAAGAGGCTGTCCTGAGGACACAGCCGAACAAAGGTAATTGCACCCAGGGACTGTGGTTCAACAAAAAATGTTTCCACAAAGGGAAGCATTCTGGAACTTTCCCTGGCTCAGGGAAAGGCCATCATTACCCATAGTCACAGCCAAACAACAACCTAGGCTTCCAAGACAGTGGAGGAAGAAAGGGAAGGCCCAGCTCAACCACGACTATTGGGGCTCAGGACCATGAAGCCATATTCTCTCAATCCTTTGCTGTCACCATGTGTGTGTGGGAGGCACATTATTGTCCCTACTCAAGGTGAGCGAAGAGAAGAGTGAGGGGCCAAAGCAGCCAGGTACTCTGCCTCTCGAAGGCTATGGTTCATGATACAGAACCAGGCCTGGGGACAATGTTTGCAGGACACCTACTCTGTACTGATGCTCTGTCTTTAGTTCCTGCAGCCCACAAGACACAAGAATGACTCTGGCACCACAAGTCCCAAGTTC